TTCATTGTAGATTCAAGATGCTTGTTTCGTGATATAGTATTTTGTTGTTAGAGTGGTATGATCCATACCAGCTAGCATTAGCCGGTAATTTAAGATATTTACTCCTTCAGTATAGCATATGAATAAGTATGCTGTAAAAGAACAAACCTTGGGTTGTTGATCAGGATTCTGTTTATGCACCTTGTTTATTTTTGCAAGTAATAAAATCAGATGCCCTCTTTGGTTTTCCACGTTATACTTCTGAGAAATCAAATTTAGTAAGATGTATCAGAAAAAGAAATGTTGCAATGGGACCATATTGGTGCAAGTATCATTGTTGAAGACTGAAGCTACATAGAGAAATGCAATTTTGTTTAAATAACAACACCCGGAACCCAAATGTTTGCTGAATCCAATCTAGAATATCCTCATCTTTTTTCTTCTTGTGATCCTTGGGCCATGGAAGACCTCGGACGTTACGAAGGGCAAAAACAGCTGCTTGGATCTTCAATTAAGAAAAAAGGAAGAGAATAATAATACCAGAAGAATGTTTATAAGACAAGAAATGAAATTAAAAAGGACATAGACATTAGGAAGTCTGCAACCTCAGGATATTTTGACATTGCTTCATCAATACTCTCAGGACCAAGAAGAATAATATTGTGAAGGGCACCATTCTTTGTGGTCTCTGCAACCTTATTTTGAGCTTCAAAAATCTGCACAAAAAAAAAGAATAACGATTACCAAATAAGCATTTTCCAAATTCTGAAAGCAAAATATTACTTGATTGCATGCTATCCCCTACAGGGAAGACCTGAACCAGGATAACAGCCTTGGTGATGTCAGATGAACATGTTCCAAAGACTCACCTCAGGATCAACTTCAGTAAATTGTTTCAAATTAACAGCCTTCAAAACCTCAGACAGAAGGTTAACAGTTTGGTGAGCCTTGGCCAGTTCAGTGCTATAAAGAGAAAAAGAAAAAAAATTTGACAATCAGATAAGTACTGATGTACAGCAACAAAATCTTGATAAACTATTAGGACTATCAGAGAAATGTTTTTCTACAGTCCCTGTACAGGATTTCCCAAATACTCCCATAAGTCTTCAGAGCATATCACAGACCTAGCATTGTTGTTACGACCGCCAACAAAGACCAGTTTACCAATTTGGTTTATCTGAAAGGAACGCATGTCAAGGATAAAACAAGAGCAGGGGAAGTTTTCAGCAAAATAGGAAAAACAAAATCTGGCTACTGATTCCTATTCTCTCTAGGAACAATAGTAAGGCAACTTTTAGCAAAATAGGAAAAGAATCAGGTCCAGTCCTGATTCCCCTGTTCTCTCTATGATCCTAATGTTGTGGGACAAATAGAACTTGAGCATAAAAATTTAGAAAAAATTTATTAGGAATCAAGATTAAAACGTTATTTTCCATTTATTGGTTATGCATCACCTAATTAGTTAAATGTTAAAAGGAATTTCCCTCATGAATGATTCATCTTTCATTTGTTTATTCATTTCCTTTTTTACATGGGGAAATTTTACTACTTTAGCCTTTAAGCCTAAATAGGATGAAGGCCTACCTAATGTGTGCAAGGAAAGGGAAAACCCCCATGAGATTTTCTTTCCTAATCCCATGGAAAATCTTTCTTTTTAAGAGGGAGAATTTGCCAAGAAAGAAAATTGATCCTAAATCGGAAACTATATTGAGAAATAGGAAAATTCCTTAAATGTCAAATCTTACGGAAAATGAAAACACTTGAGAAAAGAGAAAAATATCTTGCCATAATTTCTTTCCTTAAATCTCCATAATTAATTAAGATCTTCTCTATTTAACAAAGGAGATCATATTTATTCTATTTTAGTCATATTTCTCTTAATTTTGATAGTTTTTCTATTTTATTGTATATTTAATTTCTTATGTAATTTCTCCATTAAATTAAGATATTATTTTCTTTATTATTCACATGACCTACTATAAATAAGTAAGCAATTCCTACTTATAATAATTCAAATTTCAATTAATAAAATTATAAAATTTTAGTTTTCAACTACTGAGATTTACTACAACCTTCTTGTTGAGTAAAGAATTGATGTCTATTTATCAAGATAACTTGTGCCGTTTTCATCAATATTTATTTTGAATTGATTTTAACTTATTAAAAGTTTTCTTGTGGTGTTCTAATCAATTCGATTATCCCTATTATTTTGGTTTTTACTCCCTTGTTGGGTGCAAGTCAAGTAGGAAATGTTTATTTAAGGATAAACTTATGCATACTAATGTTATGTGTGAGATTTTGGATTGCATGTTTTGATCTTGAGTTCGGGATCATTGTGCTTAGCTTTTCAAATTGCTTGTGGGGATGCTAAGGTTGCTTATCCCATGGCGCCAATAACGACTAACTTAGAATGTTGCAAAATCCTTCAATCACGAGCCTAAGATTTCTTGAGAGATAGCCTTGATTTACATGACTTGTTTGCAATCTTCTTGGTATATCTTGAGAAAAGTGTCATTTTTTGCTGAAAAGACTAAGAATCCTCTATGACTTTGTGCTCTGATATCATATTGTTATGGTTTTGTCTGAGGCTTGCCTTGTCGACCTATGGCTGAGACTTGTTGGAGAACTAAAGATGAGCACAGGGCAGGTACGGGTGGGGTTGTCCACCCCCATACTCAGCCCATTAAGAAAAATATAAATTCACTTCCGTCCAATACTTGAAGTGGGTAAAATATTATTTACCCGCTACTCGCCTCACAGGTAAAACTTCCTTCCTACCATTTACTTAATTTATTCATTTTTTAATTAAAAAAATATTATAAATAAATTCAAATTTTAATTAAAATATCTTGAATATTAATCAAAACAAAATATAATTTAAAATACTATTTAACATAATCTATTCAATAATAAATGTAAAGTAACATTATAAATATATAACACTAAAATTTATTAATTGAAATTTGATCAAATTAAAAATAAAAATAAAATTTTATCAGTTATATACATAACAAGACGGGGCGGGGCACGTGCAATATGATATATTATTAAATCCATACCTGTCCTACATACATTTTTAAGTCATATTTTCTACCTATACCCGTCCCTATGCCTAATCTCTATGCCTTTATGA